GATAGGTTTCTGAAGGATGAAGCCAGAAAATTTTTTGTTGTTGTTGAAGAAGTGCTAAAGCATTTAGCATTGCCACAAATTATATAAACTTTTGCACAGTTTATTGATTGTTTTGTGTATGGATTTTTTCAAAAAAATAAAAATTTCTTTTTAATGTTCTTTCGTCTCTTCTATTTTTTTCCTTCTTCTAATTTTTTAGAAAGGAATTTTTTGTTTTTTTTTTTTTGAATTTAACAGAGAACTTCGAATCAATTCTTTTAAAAATAGTGAAAAAGAATATTTTATTGTTATTGTTGTTGTTGTCCTTTCTAAAAAAGAATGGAAATAGAAAGGAATTTTGCAATAGAAAGGAATTTTCTTTTTGCTTAATTTGATGGGCTGATCTGATCTGTTGTAAAGGCAACATAAGAAGGAAGAAAAGCAGAAAGAAATGAATGCTGAATGCTTCAATTAGAAGGTTGCTTTTTCTCCGCTTTCCGTTATTCAGTCATCATGGTCTTTGTTTAAAGTTCTCCTGGTTTTTCAAACTTGTTTTGTAGACATCAACAAATAGCATTGGAGTCTTAGGAAACTTATACGACATTTTTTCATTATTTTTGGATGAGATAAAGAAGAAAAATTATACATCTACTGCTGCTTTTTTTTTTTTTTGTGTTGTTGTTGTTGTTTCGATTGATTTATCTTGTTTTTGTAGAGTTTTTATTCCTAGTCTGTGTTATTTTTAACCTGTTTTAAGAGGTGACACTGATGATGACGATGATGATGATGATGATGATGATGATGATGAGGACGGTGACATTGGTGTTGCAAAACCCGGGGCATTTGTTGAGTTTGTTGTCGTCTTACAGTATAAGCCGATGTGTGTTGGAAACTGCTATTCATGACTTTAAATTTTTTACTTTTAACGTCATATATGTCGCTATTGAAGGTTTAATTTTTTTTGCTGCATTTTCTCATTAATTTTTTACTTGTTTTTTTGTTTCAAGAGAGGGCAGAACCTTTTTTTTATTCAGTTGTCTAAGGTTGTAACACCTGCTCGAATTTTTATTGCTTAGAAAATTGTGGAAAAAAAATATTTGGAAGAAACTTTTGAGTGTTCTCAGCATTACGTTCTAGTTTACATAAAGCAATAAATATTAGCACTATCAGATTGTATCTTCTTAATTACGGGAATAAAAAGAAAAGTAGGAAGGATGCTGAGTGTAAATTAGTATTAGTGATTGTTTTAAGAACTTGAGTAGTTACAAATTTTGTCATTCTTTTTTTTTGAGTGTTAGGGGAGGGGAAAAAATTTTGCTTTTTTTAAGTGAAAGTATCAGATGTATGTCCTTTGTTTGAGAAGAAGAGTTTTCACTTTAATATTGTTAATGAAAGAGGAAAAAGGAAGAGTGTTGAAGTGATATGCTTTTTTTCTGTGTGTCAACTATTGAATATTGTTGGTTGTATTTCATCGGCGCATTGATGAACTTCAAGAAATCATAATACAGTTTTATTAATAATACATTGAAAATATTAGTGTAAATAACACTGAAGAGGAGTAACATGAGAAGGACGTTAAAGTGACCAAAAATCATTGGGAACATGTATACTGCTTTGGTTAAACTTCAACGAGAATACGGATCGCAAGTGTTTATTAAAATCTTCCTTTCCCGCTATTTATTTGAAACTTCTTCTGTTGGCTGTGGTTGGTCTTAAGCATCTATGAAGCTAGGAATGGAGGTTAGATGATCTTAAATTTCTTTGGTTAATTCTTGACTACTACAGAATGCTAATGGGCCAGAATAGCCTGAGATTAGTTTTCAATTTCGGCAGTGCAGAATATTATGTTTCTTGTTGAGTCTCATATGGATTTCATCTATGAGAGGCGAACATTACAAGTGACATTTGGAGCTGTCATTGTGATCAAAATTACTTTTTAACTTGTTGCATAAAGTTTTTTCTAAATTATTGAAATTCTTATTTATTTATTTTTGTGTTGAATCAGATGTATGTATAATTGGAGTGCATTTTTTGATAGTGTGAATATTATATACTGAACTGTATTCGTAACGGTGAGGCTGAACAGTAGCGTTGATTAGGCCTGTTTGTGCAATCAAAGCGATACATTATTTTTTTAAGAGGTTGGGTATGACTATGTGTCATTCAGGTTAAAGTGAATTTTGGTGTTAATTTCTCATATTTACGTTTGATGTTATCACTTTGTGATTACTAGCGTACAGGGATGGCAATTAGTTAACTAGCATGAAAAACCCGATATGAAACTGCCTGATTTGAACTGATAGGTAACCAGGTAATCAGAATATAAATTTCCTTATAATTTTTTTGGAAAAATAGGAAATTTGATGTGTTTGATTTTTCAGAAAGATCTATTTCATGATAAGTAAGAAGAGAATGAGCGTTTTTCAAGAGTAGAGGAGAAGGCGAAGTACATTTTTCTCATTATAGAATTTTTACATTAGTGTTAACTGCATACGGCAAGCTTTTCTGTCATCGAAAATTGGTGACGCTCTGTAACATTCAGTTTAATGATGAAAAAAATTCGATTCAGCAGTAAACTAAGGGAATACACTTATGACTGAACTAATTAGTTAGGGTTTTAAATTTGTAGCTTTGTCAATTAAATGTACGTTATCATCAAAGTTGTCTGGTAATTAATCGGCCAAAGGACGGTAACTCTAAATGGACTGCCTTGTGTCGGGTTAAAGGAGGAAAAACTCAATATCAGATAAAATTTGGCACTTTGTATTGCTGTGAAAAGGGCGTTGGTTGTACTCGTGAAAATAATGAAATCTGTATTTGATGCAGTTTCAGTCGTTTTTATAAATAACATACATGTGCCTCTGGAATTGAGCTTTTGATTTGTTGGGCAGTTTGGATGACAGTATTAGTGCCATCGCATTCAAACTACTAAATTGTTTTGCTTTTGGTGATGCTTTTATTGGGTTTTTGATCTGTCACTGTTGAAGTGGTTGAAGTTTTTGTATTGTGATTTGGTGTGAGATGAGTTGTGGAAAATGAGGAACATGGGACACCTCATCTAATTAGCCCTCTAGCGCTAATAGATCACTACTTTTTTTAAGTTAAGGTAAAAAATGTGATTATCTATTGAAGAATCTGAAGGAACAAGAAGAAATTTTGCTACCTTTGATTTTTTTTTTTTTTTTTTTTTGTTGTTGTTGACGCTTAAGCGGTTAGTGATAATTAAGTGTATTAGGAATATTTAATGCAGTAGAAGTTGGCATTTTCTATCATTTAGTCTATCGAAATAAAGTAAGTTTTTTTTTTAAATTGCAAGTCTGATTTATTTTCTTTTTAATGGGAGAAAAGAAGGAGAGTTAACCTTTACAGTTTGTCTGTCTTTGTTGATAAACAATTTTAGCTTACTTCAAATTAATTTAACATAGGCAATAATAGTGTAAGAAAATATTGTTGATTAAAGCAGCTTTGTTTGTTTATTTTTTTTTTGATGCTGGTTTTGTTCGTTTTTTAGAAAGCAGAAAATTTGATTAGCGTTCAAAGTGGTAAAGGGTGAAAGTTGAAAGCAGATATAGCATTAATTAATAAATTGGATTATGATTAGTCCAAGAGACCTGAGACGATACAGGATGGTAATTTGAAAATTAGATGTTTGATTTAGAAATTTTTTTGAAAATTTGTTTGTAGAACTGATGGGGAAAAGAAAAAAGAAAGGATAGATAAATAAATAAAGGGAGAAAGAACATGAAAAGTAGGGGCGTCGAATTGCAAATTTGTGTATCAGTTAAGGCAATGTTAAGAATTGAAATTAAATTTTGTGTTAAGTTGAATTTTGGCCTGGTTGATGAAAGCAGTTTTGTGCGTTAAGCTGTGAAAATTGCTGTCCCCATAGGATTGAGGCACAATTTTTTGCACTATTCGAGGATATTTTGTTCATTTAAATTCTGTTATTTTTCGTTTCAGTTTCTTTGGCAAAAAAAAAAACTTTTCAAGCAGGAAGATTATGTTGTCTCTTTTAACGCTAATTTTTTTTTTCTTTTTAAGAAGAAAAAAAATTTTTTTTTATCTGGAAACCTCTTAAAATGCTTCTTTTCTTCTTTGGCTTATTTTTTTTTCTTCGTCTTCTGAAGTTTTATTTTTGGATAAAGTAAACGAGCGTCGAATTTATTATTTGCTATGAATAGGGTTTTCGGCAAGTAGTTTATAGAGATGGAAGGGAAAGAGAAATTTTTTTCTTTATTTGTTGACATTATACATAAGCTTAAGTTTTTTTTCTAGATCATTTATTACTGTCGTTTATTTCCTTCTTTTTTTTGCTTATTATTCAGTTTTTTTACAACAACAGCATAATTTTTGATGGTACAAATCTTAGTGTTTTTTTTTGTTGAATCTTTTTATCATTACTATTATTATTTTTGTTATTATTGTAGTTATTATTACATTTGTCATTGTTACTGTAAGTATCAGTAATTGTATTACTGTCGCCTTCAAGCATTGTTTTTGTCTCTTTTGTCCGCGATAAACATTTGGATTTATTTTATTTCTTGGATTCTTGAAAATATGCATTAGAATAGTTGAAAAAACTGTACTTTTTCCAGTCGTTTTTCTTTTTTTTTCGCAGTTTTGATTTCAAAAAAGGAGGCATTCAAAGGCATGTTTTATGCAGCAGTCAGTAGTGTGTTTTTCTTTCTTTGAAAATAGCTGTCTAAAAAAATTGTCTAGTCGAGTTTATGTTACCACAAATACGCCGAGATACACGTACAAAGTATACAAACTTATGCTATTGGGATGTTTTCGCAATTCGGTACCGTTAACAGTACTGAATTATCGGCTTTTTGTTGCAGTTAATATTTTTATCGGTGCAGATGGTGATGAAAGAGTGAAAGCAGTTTGAAGACGGCAATAGAAAGAAAGAAGGAATCCAGAATTTTAAAGGAGAAAAAATAAAGACATAAAGGAGGGTTACTTAAGAAAAGAACGAAAAAGGCTACAACGACGAAAAGAACGGCAAATACTTAGTGGAAATGTCTGCATTAACTGCAATTACTGAACGTATTGGTAGTTTGAAATTGTCAGAACGTTTTCGACAAAATATTGGTCGTAAACTTTCACGGTCACCAACACGAGTAGGTTCAACTGAAAGCAATATTCCTGATCGACAAATCTATGAACAACACGATCGCACAGTGTCGGATAGTGTTGTAACTGCTATTGCAGCTGTACATCAGTCAACGGATTCTGGAACATTACAAGATGAATTTATTGCACCAGCAGTAACTCGGTCATTTTCGAAGGTTAGATACACAGTTTCTTGATAGTTCAGAAAATAAATCTCATTTA